GGGGTCTCCCGGGACGGAGATAGATCAATCGAGGGGGGGGAGGGGGGGGGGGTACTTTATTAATGCGAAGTCAACATTAAGCCTCATGTTGACAGTAGCTCCTATGAGAGCAAAACTCCAGCTGCAAACTCCAGATTTTTTGCGGTGTCAGAGCGCCTCTGCTGGCAAGCTCAAGAGTACAAAGCTTGAGCAGGAGCGCCGCAACACCTATGCTAGAAGCGCTGGCAAATTTGCGGCCCTTCCGTAGGCGGCAAGCACTGGGACGTGATGCGACATTGGCATACCGGCCGGCGAATTAACTGACTCGAATAGACCTTCGCTGCCCTCATTTCAGAAGTGGCTGGTAAGCTTCAATAACCAAAAGCATAGGGCGGCATGGCGTCCATGACTTACCTCGCTGTGAAATTGAGCCCGGTTCTCTTGAAAAGAAACTGAGCTCCAGCCTGTCATGCAGTACCATTACATGTGGGCTCTGCGAAGGTCGTAAGATACTCGTCGGACTTTGCCAAACTTGAGCTACAATTTCGTGCTTATCCCAATTCGGGTCCCATGGTCGACGGAGTATGAACAGGTACATTGGTGACAGTACTAGCAAAAGTCTGACATCGGACCCCAATTGCAGATAGACCACACTCTTGAACGTTGTCTGGTGAAAACTTCGGAGCATTCGGTTGTGTACAGGGCCAAGTGTTTTGGAGACTAAATAGCGGCTCAGAAGTCTGTTCTTGCTGGCCTGTTTCAGGTCCCAGCAGTAGAATCCTACAGAAATGCGGTGGTGTCCGCTGATTCACTCTGCCCCCATTGGCAGCAACGAAGAGTATCCAGTTCTTCTGCCACCAACTGCCGGCAGGAATCGAAGAATGGCGAAACCGACGGGTATGCTCATGAGACCCAGCCCGAAGGCTAGCACAAGCTTATGTGCGCGAGCCGTTCGCAAAGCCCGAACTTCTTCCACCAATGCGGTGTACTCGTTGTGGGCAGCTGTCAGGCTGTGATGCAAGGTTAGCCTCTCCACCCTGGTCTCGCTCATAGGTGGCTGTCGCATGGCCATGTTCTCCGTTGCTCGGAGTTCACGGGTGCGCTCTCGACGAGCACTTCGTCCACATCCGTGACAAGAACCCCAGTCTCCCCACGTGCTCCAGGTGCAGAAGCCAGGGACGCAAGACCGAGGACAGTTGTCCACCTCTTCGCCCGCAAAGGCATCGCAGTTTGCGCCCCCGTTTTGGGCGTACTGCTTGATGTTACGCTTCCTCTTGCGCTCCCCGTCGCACTTGTCACAGGCGCCCCAGTCCTTCCAGTCGCCGAACTCGCAGGGTACCGGGTGGCCACCCTCGCACTGGGTCTCTGCGCAGCCCTGGATCTTGGTGAGGGAGCCTAGCGCAAAATGTGACCAGCATGATCTGCGAGTCTGCACGTCACAAGGCTGCAGCACTTGACACATCACAATGCTAATGCGAGGTGCCAATTAAGCACTCCCAAAATTTGCTTCAGACCGCTAACACTCCTGCCTGTGCAAGGTCGGCCGCCGTTGCGACGGTGCTGGATCAGGGACAGGGCTGGTACTGTTCTTCTCAAGAGTTGAGATGGCTTCTCACGGCTACTACCCCTACGCCTGTCATGTCTGATGCGAATGGGACTTGTGACGCAACAAACAGGAACGCAAGAAGATTGGCATGGCTAGCGCTACCATCATGGAAGGAAAACAAACACGACATCGACAGCAGCCATCATCAAGCGGCTAGTTCTCAAAAGGCAGTGTCCATCCCCTGAAACTAAAATTGTCCTCCAGGAACCCCCAAGAGGCCACATCATAAAAAGTACTAAGTACAACCCGAAATCGCGCCCGCACCTGCTCGATTGCCCTCCTTTTAACCTTGGCGCCACCTGAGCTTCCAAACATGGCACCGAATTTAGGTCAGCACTGGATGGTTGTCCATTTGATTCTTCTTCGTTTTTTATAAAAACACCGAACCAACGCAATTCAGATACTGGTCTTGACTGTTTTTTTTTAGCAGGCTCCTACTTTCTGCTATGCTTTGATAACTCTTCTTCTTGCTGATGGTTGTCGCGGTTGCAGTCAATGCCCTAATTGTTCCTGCTGGTGCTACAGTTCGCTGCAACTATGGTTTGCGTGGTTGCGGTGTTACAAGGGTGCCGCTTCAGTCTGCATCTTTTGTTGAGATGGCTGGGGTCGGTCTATGATCTTCTACCCTTGCGGCTCTTGTTCGACATGATACTTCGAGGTTTGAGGGTTCTCCGATCGTTGCGAAATCCTGTGTACGCCCCAAGCCCTAAATCCTAGAGTTTCCATGTTTTCCATTCCTCCCCTACTGCTGAGGTCATGGCCACCACAGGTCGCGCTGCAATCGGACCACTCGGTCCAATCGCTCATCTTGCAGTCCTTTGAATAGGATTTATAACTTCCTTGGTAGACAAGTCTATAGCAGGAAGTCGCCAGGTTCGATGACTTGTTTAGGCTCATCACACACACACACACATGCCAGAACTGCTCACTACTCTGCACGTGGCCCAGGTCCTGGGCTTCCTCAAGTCCACAGCCCTCCGGGTAGACGTCGAAGAGGCCGGGATTACAGGGTTGTGTCTCATGGATGTCGCCATCACAAAGCAAACCACCAGATCTACCATGCTGGATGATGGCCCGCTCGCGCCTCTGATTGCCATTGCAGGTTGCCGAGCACACAGACCAGGCAGACCATTCTGATAGAATGCCTCAGCTGGGTGTCATCGCTGCATGGTGTAACAGCGCAACAGCAGCTTAAGAGGAAAGGCGAGATCCGAAAAACACCAAGGCACAATCCGTTGCCGCGTGACAGTGGTCCACGTTGCAGAAGGCCTCCTCTCTACTTAGGCCCTCCGCTGCCTTTCCGCACTCATTGGCTGCCTGAACCATGTGCCTCCTCCTGAAGGTGGTTCCGCCTCCACAGGAGACGTCACAGGGGGACCACTCCTCCCAGTCGCCCCACTTGCCATCCACGCAAACCTGCCGAGTGCAGGAGCGCTCCTTGCAGCCCTCAAGTTCGGCCAGGGGTGCTGACTCACAGTATTCTCCACCATTCTCTGGTGGCTTGACACTTCGAGTTCGTCCGCGCTGCCCGGAGCCACAAGTAACACTGCACTCACCCCATGCGCTCCATGCAGAGAGCTCGCAGTCCCTGACGGTGCATCCGATTCCAGTGTCACAAGGCCTGCTTTCGGCTATGGCACTATTGCAGCCTTCTCCACCGGATGACCTAAAAGACAAGACCTTCCTCTCCCGCTTCTCCTCACCAATTCCACAGGAGACAGAGCAACTGTTCCACTCCGACCATTGGGACTCCTCGCAATCTGTTGTGGGACAGTAGCCAAGGTTGCAGCCAGTAGTCTGGATCAGATCACTGGGGCAGAGCTCCCCACCATTCCGAGGGAAGCGAATGATCTGCCTCTGTCGCTTCAATTGGCCAGTTCCACAGCTACGGTCACAGGAGCTCCACTCGACCCAGTCAGAGACGGCACAGTCAACCTTGGCTAAGTCACAAGACTCGGCCTCTAAGAGACTGCCCTTGCAGCCTGCACCTCCGTTTGCAGAATTGCTTAGGATATCTCGCTGGCGGTAGCGCTGACCCTCTTCGTCACAGTGGCCCCAAGCTGACCACTCTGACAGCTCACAGTCCACTGGCTTTGAAAGCATTGCATCGCAGTACTCAGAGCAAGGCTGGATCTGGACCAAATCGTCTGCACAGCGTTCACCCCCGGCCATGGGGACACCGATGACACTGCGCTCACGTGAGTGCCAGCCGCGGCCGCATGATTCGCTGCAGGAGCCCCACTCCGTCCATGAGCTCAGCTGGCAGTCAACTGGATTGTGGGTCGCGGAGCATGGCCTTGTCTGGTGCATGCTCCCCACACAAGGGCGGCCTCCCCACTTCTGTTCGTGCACTATCTTGCGAAAGCGATATTTCTGGCCGCTTGGGTCCGCAGTGTCACAGAAGCTCCACTCCTGCCACCCCCCTAGCAAACAGTCTCGGGGCGATTCCTGGGTCTCGCAGACCTTAGTTTCCTCGAGGTGGCCGGTGCAGCCCTTCCCGCATTCATTGTTCCTGCGTGCCACATGGCGGTGGCGCTCGCACATAAAGTGCGTGGTCTGCGACCACTCCGTCCATGCATGAAAGAGGCAGTCTCGTGGATAGCAATCCAAGTTCCGGCCTGGACACCAAGTCACGTTCACCTGCGCGATGTTGGAGCAAGCGCTCGAGTCACCCCGCATTGTGAAGAACATGCCTTCTGGAGGCTTCTCATGGGAAACTGTCAGAACGCGACTCCGCATGGCGGTGCTTGATCCATAGCCGAAACAAGATGTGGCACCGGTCCACTGCGTCCAGGTACAATATGACTTCGTCTGGTGACAGCCCTCTAACGAACAGGCCGTAGTCTCCTTGAGCCTGGCAGCTGCACACTGCCGTCCCAAAGCATCCGGAAGCTTCATGATGGAGCGATGTCTGCGCATCTGGCCTCTGCAACCGGAGCAGTCACTCCACTCCGTCCACTGGCCGAGCTGGCAGTCGGTGAAGTTGCGACCAGAGCATTGAGGCATGTAACAAGGCTCTGTGACCTCCAAAGCACCTCGGCAGGTTTCGCCTCCACCCTTTGGCTTCACTAAGATGCTCCTGTGCCGTGAATGCTGCCCACCACCACAGCTGACAGAGCAGGAGGTCCAATGAGTCCATTCTGAAAGGATGCAGTCCTCAGGCTCAACATACCTCTTGCCTGGGCAGTCAGCAGGCTCATCCTCATCCACTGTCGGATTGCATGCCTCCATCTCTCTGAGATCCTCCTGACATGGAGTTCCTCCATTCTTTGAAAAGACTGCGACGAATCGATTCCGCTCGCGCACTCCATCACAGCTGCAGCTGCAATCAGACCACATTCCCCATTCAGACACGCTGCAGTCCACGACGGCTGCCTAAGTCAGCGTGCAGAACATGTGGAGTCAGCATGTGGAAGCAGCATGTGGAAGCTCAAGAGGCATGAGTAGAGGCAATCACGCAAGCACCCTCTAGTTGCAGCAAGGGTGCTGCATCGGCACACTCTGGAAGGTGCTCGCATGCCTTGAACTCCTCCTGCAGCCCGGTCGGTGTTAGGCCGCAATGATTGGGAGGAATCAGAACGTCTCTACGCCTCGACTTGTAGCTGCCAGAGCAAGTCGCTGAGCAAGCGCTCCATTCCATCCACTCCCCCCAAGTGCCATTCCGGCATTCTGACTGGCACGGCTGCGTGTTGCAAGGCGTCACTTCTTCCTTGTCCCTGGGATTGCACTCCAGCCCTCCGTTGCGGGGAGCCACTGCAACATATCGGTGTCTGGTGGAGATTCCACCGCCACAGGAGCAAGGACATGCCGACCAGGCGGCCCACTCTCCCCACTCGCAGTCCTGCTTCACGCAGTCGCCCAAGTTGCAGATGTCTGACTCCATCATGGTTGCTTCACAGCCCTTACCACCAGGCCCAGCCAGCCGGAGGATCTTGCGGTGCCGGGTGGTGGCACCATCACCACAGTTCGAGGAGCAGTCTGACCACTCCTCCCAGTCAGAGAGCCAGCAGTCCTCGCAGGCAGAGCTTCGCGGAATGCAGTGCAACATGGCATGATCATAGTTTCATATGGCGTCCTCGTTGGAGAACTGGTCTTCGCATCTATCAGAATTGCACTCTCTCGTCTCCTGCAACAAGCCACTAGGCATCGCATGGTATTAAAGTGTGCTCAATCATTAAGCGTGTTGCGTGCAACCCCCGCCTTCAAGGGATAAGTGGACTCCGCCTGGCCAAGCACATCTACTATGGATTACTATCACTACTAGCTTTATTACTACTATTGCCTTTGTAGCTGTAATGACTATTGTTACTATTATTACTCATATCGCAGTTCTGACTATGATTCTTGAACTTTGACTGCAGCGGCTGTGGCAAGCGGCCTTCTCGTCAAAACGGGCAAGTCCTATGGCTGCACGCTGCCGGAAGGTCTGGCCACCGCCGCAGCTCCTGATGCTGGGGGTCATGATAACGTTTACATGACATCCATGATGAGACCTGTCTTGGGCAATCTGAACAACTTTGGGGAAATGGAACGAATGTATTTGAAAAGCTGTAGTTGTGAGGAATGCTTTCGGAAAGCGCAAATCGAAGAAAGCTCCTGTCGCAGGGCTGCCAGGAACCCCAGTCACTCAAGAGGTACCTCCGTATGCAAACTACAGCGTGGCAGACCGATGAGAAGACGGTGATCAATACGCACAGGAGCTGACAGAAGTCACTGCCAGCCGCTATTCAGATCTTGCTTGCCAGCTTCCCGACAATCCAGACAATGATGCCAACATATTACTTCCCCAGGCGACAACCTTTGCCTGAGAGTTACACACCATGCAAACATTACTATTACTACTATGACTACTATTATTATCACTACTACTACTACTACTACTACTACTACTACTACTAGTAGCGCCCCCCCCTACCAACTATGTTTGCTTAAATTGCCAATATAAATGTGGGGGAGGCGGCATTAGAAAACAGTAAGCAACATGACAAGGAAGTGCTTTCCACGCAGGGTGCTGGTTAGTTCTCGAAGGCCTGCCTTGTGAGCCTTACCTGGACCATGGCTCCAAGAGAGGCCAACGTGAACACAGTGTCATCAAAGATTTCGTGGGCACAGTCAAAAATGCGGGCCAAAATGGCGGCCCTATGGATCCACATTGGCTTGCCTCCCAAAACAACCAAGAAAAACTTCATGATCTTGTTTAGTTGGACCAGTTGAAGGAAGGCATTAAGTTTGAGGGAACTTGACTGGTTGAGGTGGGTTTACACGTAATTATCCCCCCCCTCCCCCCCGCCTCCCCCCTCCGCCCAAAGCTCTGGTAGTGGAAATATCAACCACCATAGTTGGTACGGGGGGGGGGGGCCGGGGGGGCCTACTACTACTACTACTACTACTACTACTATTCCTATCATGTCTATTGGTACTCTTATCACCAATATTACCCTTACTACCATGATGACCATCATTGCCGTCATTACCATGATATACCATGATTACCATCACTACCATTGCTACCATTATCACCCTTATTACCCGCATTACCATTCTGATTCTGATGCAGCCCCAGAACTCTTTCCCGCTGGCAGGTCACTCTAGAGCCTGCTCCAGGACTTTCGGGCACCCCTGCATGGCAAAGCGGATTGTGCTTGAGTTTGATAACCCTTATCTTAGATATTGGGGTTATATAGGGAATAATGGAGAAGAAAATGGAAACTATTATAGTATATTGGGCGTTTTAGGGTTTGGGGTTTATTGTTCAGGGCAGTCCAAACCCACATCAAGCAATTCGAGCTTTCAAAACTGGCGCCACAGCAGCTGCAACTGCTACTGCTATCCCGCCAAGGACTTCAGCTCTTTTGTGGACGAAGCCTTGATTACTGAAACAGCCTCCAGTACTTCCAGTTCTGTCTGCAAATACCTTATGTGAAAAAAAGGTAGCGGCGTGGGAAAAGAAGGAATCGCATGCATCGTAATATCACCACAACAACACAACGACAACTTAAACTTCATCTACAAAGGCCGTAAATCCTGGACCCCTAAATCTGTGAACCCCAATATCCCTTACAAAACCGTCCTCAACGCCAACATCAAGACCCCCTGGCAATCCTGAACCTCAACAACCCGTAAGCCCACCATGATGAGGTCCTGAAACCCCCATATTTCCCCCAGTTTCCATTTCAGTTTCCATTTTCTTTTTTATTTGACTCTTCATGGTAAGGGGATGATATGAGTCATAGTCTAAACTCCCAGTATCCCCCTTAATAACCCCCATAGTAGTCCCCTATATAACCCCCTTTAAGGAGTTTAGACTATGGCTCATATTGTAACCCACCTAAACCTTCGAGGCCTGCGTCTGCAGCAGTTCCGGGTCGCACGCGTTCCCGTCTCCCTGTGGAGCCTCGGGGCGAGGTGAGGGTTTCTGTAAGGAGTTGAATACGGGTATATGGGAGTTTGTAAGGAGACATGGGGTTTAGGGATTCCAAAAAATTGAGGTCCTGTTTGGGGGGCCCTGTAACCAAGATTGAAACATTTAGCATTATGTTTGGCTGCCGCAAGACCAACCCGTATCGATGAAGCTCTTCAACAGGCAATTTCCTTAAATCTGAACCTTAAAGTTAGTCAAAAGAAATTCCCTAAACCCTAAGCCGTTTCCTAAACCCTAAAGTTCTTCAACAGGAAATTCAGAAAGCGGCTTGAGGACATGATTATCTTGCATCAAGTTGGGATCCGTAGTTTCTTAAAATGATGCCCTCTACCATAAATATTTTCCCTTGTTTAACGAATGATACCATAATATTGAGAGTGGGGAGTGGGAGGGTTGCTATTATGGGGGTCTTGCAGAAGTCGGTCTACTGGCTTTGGAACTGAGCCAAAGCTTGAAGATTCCTCATGAGCCGCAGGCAGAAGACAAAACCAGCCGGGCCAAATAATTTGTTGTGCAAGACTTAGACATGGAGATCGCTCGGATGTATGTGAGCACTATCACGCAGTGGTGAAAGTGATTCCAGGCCGCCAAGCGGCTCATTGACAAGTCTGCTTCCTAGAAAAACAAAAAAATCTGCACCCAGGCAGTTCCTCGAGTCCTGCACTTTCACCAGCTTGATGCACGGCTTAAATTTATGTTCAGGCTCATAGAATTACACAACAACTACTGTACAGTGATGCGCAACCTCTCGCTGGAAAAATGCTTTGCGCCTGCAGGATTCGTCGACTGCGGTACTGCTGCCTGAACAAGGCCGCAGTCATGCAAAGCAAGTTTGTCACCTTCAGCATCTGCCGTCCTGAGCGGCAGAATGCAACTGGAGCTCCTGGTATCTTAATACGTGTTGCAACTTACCCTGCTGTGCGCTGCAGTAGTCACTCTTTCACCAGTTTGAGAAGATAGCTTCACGTGCAACGGCTCTGGCAACAAAGGTCATCCGCAAGCAACGCTGGCCTGTCAGCTCCAAAGCAGCCAGACCACTCCGTCCAGGAGCTCAGGACACAGTCCCTCTTGTCGCAGGGCTCCAACTCGCACTCCTCAGGACAAGTGTACTGGTTCTGTTTTCTGCGACTGAGCAGCTTGAAGCCATGACCACGTGAGCAGTGTGTGTTTTGCACGGCAGATAACGTTGCATGTCACTGAACCCTGACAAGTTCTGCCTCGGTGAAGAGGGTGATGCCCACATCGCAAGGAAGTCCGCCGAAGCTTTCCTGAAAACTCGAAGAAATCAAAGACTGCGGGCTTCAGAAAAGCCGTTCTGGAATGTGCGGCACCTGTCCTCGTCGATGTCTCTGAGGCGCTGCCTCCTACCCAATCCGCAGCTTGTGCTGCACTGAGACCACTGGTGCCATTCCTTACTCACAGAGCGCGCAGGCAAGATGCGTGTTTCAAATTGTTTTTCTGCTGAGGCCCTGCTGTAGGGCCACCACCGTGTATTTGCAGTCCACTGATCGGGCATCGCATGCTTTCCTCATGTCAGGCTGAAATGTCAAGCATGAAAGCACAAAGATGGGACGGCTATGCGCGCATTGCAATCCAGCCACGTTTGGTTCAATGCGCCATCACACTGGCGCCGGCGCAGGCTGTTCGCATCGTGCAGAAGCTGGCACAAGGTGACGGCACAGCACAGAAAGGGCACACTCAGAAACGTAAGTTCCAGGGAAATTGGGTCAAAGCAAAATTGGGGGGCCAAGCATGGAAGGCTTTCACTGACCGTTCCCACCTCGCGTGATCGTAGTTGCTGCCCTTTGGGATTGTTGCAGTCGCCAGTCCAGTGTGACCACTCCTCGTTCGCAGAGCACGTTACACAGCGAGGAACAGCGTGGTGTTCTCGAAGCGGGCTCAGTGGCCAGCTGAAAACTTACAGTCAACCGTCACATCGCCCTTGCACTCCGGCGGCATGTACGCCTGATGAAGAGCAGCACCAACACCATCCAACTCCAACAATTATTAGTACTCGTATTCTATTTCTACCAGTATAATTGTTACTATTCTTATTACTGTTATAACTACTACCATAATTACTAGTATTCTTACTAGTATTATTATTTGCTCGTATTTGTATTCTTATCATTAGTCATGGCTTCTGACCAGAAGCAAAGGCAGTGGACGTGTCAACATGGCATGCTGCAGGCCTGGGAGTCCACCGTCATACCATGGCACGGCTGCCCGCAACTGGACAAGCCAAGCAGAATGAGTCTCCTCTGCACCTAGTACTATTAAAATTGCTATTGTTATTACTATTCTTATTACTTTTCTTATTACTATTCTTATTACTGTTCTTATTACTATTCTTATTACTGTTCTTATTATTATTCTTATTACTATTCTTATTGCTGTTCTTATTACTATTCTTATTACTAATCTTATTACTATTATTGCGACACGTGCCCTGCTAGACGTAAACCCGAGCTCAAGCTGCCGACTGGTTGTTTTCAGTTGCGAAGGCGCGACGGCGATAGCGCAGACCTGTTCTTGGAGTGTATAAGACTGCATCAGGAATGCCATGAAGGCAAGCATTGATAGTCTTATTATTACTGGTACCACTATTATTAATATTCTCATTTTTCCCGGATTTCTATACTCTTACGAGTATTACTATTTTTACCATTATTCTTTGTATTCTCTATTTTACCAGTACCATTACTATTACTATTATGCTTACTATTAGGATTACTATGTTTAATATCATCCTTACTACTGTTATCACTATTCTAAGTACTACTAAATCTATTAAGTGGCTCTCGCAGCCAAGAACCGCACCACTGCACTCTTGTCCAGGAGATACTTTCCACTCGGTCCATTCCGCAAGGACACAGTCGACCGGCTCGCACCTTCAATCAATTCCCTAAAACCATGAAAGGCTTCCTGTAGCGTGCACCTGAACGTCTCTTGAAGGGCTTTATAAAGGTTATATCGAGAATATACAGGGATTATATAGGGATCATATTATGAGCCATAATCCAAACTCCTATTTTCCCCTTAAGAACCCCTGTCGTAGTCCCCTATACAACCTGCGTTTAAAGAGTTCAGACAATAGCTCACATGCGAGTTATATAGGGATTATTTAGGGATTATGCCGTTTATGAGGTGCCGGCGTTTCACAGGTCTCTGGGCTTGGGCATGTCTCCCAGTCTGTCTCGGAGCCGTGGCAATCCTCGATGTGGAGATTACAGAGAGATGTCGCACACATGAAAAACACATGAAGAAAAAAAGCAATGGGGCTCCCTTTTTGGTGGTTCCTATGATGAAGAAAATATGTGAAAATGTAATCTTGGGATACACAGGGGCACTCCACTTATTTGAGTTTTCCCGAATTATGGGGGAGATCCGGCTGCCTGAGGGACCAAGACCCCAACCGCCTCGTCTGGCAGCATATCACAGCCCAGCTTCTTGTTCGCACCTCAACATGCAGAACGCATGCACATTTCTGTTCAAGCAGCACGCAGCCTTTGACACTAGGGTAGGTACAGCAATACTGGACCTTGTCTGCTGCCCAGGCATTGGGCAAGTCTCCGTTGTAGCAGTCGAATGGCTCCTGCAAGTACACTGCCATGCCCCCTGATCCCAACAGCATATGAGCTCTAGTAGCTCTAAACTCCTTAGAAGGGATTCTGTAGGGGATGATGTAGGGGAGTATTATAGGGCTCATTAAGGGGGATACTAGTTACTAGGAGTTTAGACTATAGCTCACATGGAAGCAAATGCCACTAGCACCCAGGTTCTACAACAGAACAGGCCCAAGTCATGCTGCTCACTTGATGACATTGGGTAGCCCAGCACTCCAACCCTCCATCCGGTATAGTATTTCCCAACAAGGACGGCTCTCCCAGAGAAGGGCCTTTGGCAAAGACCAAAGAATCAACCTCAAAGGCTTGTTTTGACCCCTCTAAAAGCATCTCATAACGAGATGCTGGGGAGTTCCCCAAGCAGTCTAATAGCATTCCTATAGTAGACACTCCCACATCCAGAACTTCGCCAGGCCATGCCTCCGGCAGGGGCTTCGGAAGCTCCTCCCCAGCAATAAAAAAGTTGTAGTGGTGGTTGAAGCATGTAGGATTGCACCCTTCTTAGAAAATTCTTGGACCTAAAGAGGAATTCAAGCTTAGCCAATGTTACGATGTTGGGACAAAAGCATCCCTAATTGAGCAACAGGAAAGTAAGAGTAGAAGAACTCCCGATTTTAGGTACAAAAGTAATGCTGGATGATGTGCATCAAGTAAGGCTAGCCCAACCCTAAACCCTGAACCCCAAACCTCCGAACATGGAATCTTCTACCTTGACCCTTTGAACCAAGCAGACATCAAAGACATCTGATCCCGAAATGAAAGCTCAGCCAATTGTCTTTCACAACTACTAGTCGAAGCTTCCGACACAAATCCGGTCTATAAAATAAAACTAAACCCATCCACCTACTACTAAATAATCCGCACCCCCCTATAGTCAACATGTCCCCAATGAAACTTGAGCTGCGGGGAACCAGGGAATACTCAACAATAGGGGTTGGTCGAGGGAGATTCATAGTAAGGCAAGGGATCGGGACCAGCTCTACAATGATAGGGACCCCAAAGGTAACCCCGACAGGAAACACCCCAAGCATGCTGAAGTCCTTGCCAAAGCAGTGCAGGACCTCAATCTGCTTCTTACTTACAGCGGCTCTCCGTCTTCCACTGTCTACTGTCTGCCAGCACATCTGCATCGTGTTCCGCCGCAGGAAAAAAGCAGAAAAACTGTTGGGAGCTCTGGCTGGCAAGATAAACCTCTTTTCTCATTTAACCTTGTCCAGCCCCGATCCCACCCCGAGCCCCGCAAACCCAGGGCACGTCAGGAGCCTCAAATCATCCAACACGCCCCGCCCCGACCTCTCCAACCTCCTCCCTTGAACGGCGGACAGGGAAGGGATGCAAACATTCACAGGATGCCTGTAAGTTCGGAGATAGCTTGTTAAGTCCTGGACGCTATCTAAATCACCTGGAGTCCGAGCACAGCCCCTCATTTGGAGAACACGCACAAAAAAAGCAACAAGTAGCTTCTTGTTTTTTCCAAGGAGGCACATAAAACATGCAGCTCCTTGCTTAGTTTTGCTGAGATTTATCGGGGAATTGTGGCTCCTGCCCCAAATTCCTGTGGGGGGATGTGGGGCAGAAGGGCAAAATGCTGATTTTTGCATGACAGGGTTGAGGGCTGAGTGGGTAGGGCAGCCCCCCCAATTGCAAAGACATGGAAAAAAAAACAAGTTCTGACAGGATTTACCAGCGATTTGAACACGGTAGCAGGGCGCTGGGAGGCGCGAACGACATCGGCGCAGACAAAAAACACGCAAAGCGCGGAAGAAATCAACTATAAAAAGCAGAACGACCCAACATGACTGCACAAAGAGTTCTCCCCAGTGGAAGACCGGAGAATAACACTGATGCAGCATTTTGCGAAACTTTCAGGAGCAGCCGCCGTTCGCTGTGGGCTAAGCTTTGCGCCAAATCCAGACCCCACGGCTTGTCGTAGTCCACACGCGTGGCACAGATCTTGCCATTGGCGTGCTCGATGTCAAACCTCATCACATCAGAGCAAGACGTGAGAAACTTTGAGAAGGACACATTCCAGCTGTATTCCCAAATAAGTCTTGGACTTGTCTGGGTGCTTGTCCGTTCGACCTCTCACTGAGGCTTCGTTGTCGCAGGTGAGATGACCCGGATCGCGCACCTTACAGCACGGCAATGATATCACAGGCGCGTCCTACATGCAAGGACTCGGAGACATCATGCTCAAAGAACTCCTTCAAAATCACATTCCGACAACTCGGCTTCCAACGCACTTCTTGCTGGAGTGCAGACTTGAGCCGATCGGAACTGCCACCATGCCAGAGAAGAGGCCTGAATCCTCGCTGGGTTGGCTGTGGGACGCAGGTGGAGCACAAACCCCAACAACCGCAAGAGCATTACGATGCCTGCTATGGCAACGACCCCAAAAACGGACTGTACCTGATGAAGCTGCCAAACAGTACCATCCCCGCTCGACTCCAACACTATGCGCTTGGCACGTTCGAGGACCAAAAAACGGAAATACTGCTATTACTTGGCTTTGGTTTTCTAGGAAGGAAGGACTGGATCCTTAGTCTCTATAAACCAGTTATAGTAGTTGTCATCTTCTTGTCCATTCCTTTATTCCCCGCTAACCAAAGGCAAGATGAATGCAGATAGACATCGTCGGACAGCAGTCATTGGCGCGCCAGGGCCAGGGCCAGGGCCAGGCAGGGCAGCTCCAAACGTACAGCCAACAGATAGGTTGTTCCCAGATTAGGGTCCCGTTGTGGAATCCCGAAATATTACTGCAGGTGTCGCAATATGATTTTTTAACCAAAAGGAGCCCCTGATTTTTGCGAACAAACCAAATAGTGATGACCACTCGGAGGCAATGATACTCCCAGCATTCTCACGCCCAAAAAAAAACAGCTATGCCGAATGTTGACCCGGAACGACAGAGTTTGGCAGAAACTTGTCGTTGCTACTTGTACCTTGAATGAAAAGCATCTTGCATTCCTATGCCTACATCCTGTAAAACATGTTGGGACATGGGTCGTGACAAGATGGTGCAGGGCACGGAGCAGAGATAGTGGCAAGGGGGCGCAAGGGCATGCACACCATGCCAACTGTCCGCATCCCAATTGCTCTCAGAGCCGCTGCCATTGCAAAAGAGAAAGGAGGGGAAGAAGCACTCGCATCACTGGATTTGGTGACTTTGCAATGATTTCACAATTGACAAATGCAACTGTCCTCAAAGTCAGGCATCGCCATATCCTCCGCATGGGTCACACTTGCCTCGCAAATTCGCAGCTTCATTGCACCAGGTTTTCAAACGTCTCTCTGATTTTCCTGCCTTGGTACACGATAAGACCTCGCCAGCCACATGCTTGCAATCACTTTGGCGTCTTACCAGTTGTCCGAGATCCCTGCCAGGGTGCTGCCCCAAGGGTCTCGATAGTCTGTTCTTTCTGCGCAAACTTCACCATGTGAGTTCGTGTAGATGTGGAACCTTACATCAGGGATCCTTCTAACAGGGGTGCTTGCAGTCCAACATTGCTAGCTTCCATACTAGCCAGCGCAAACAGTGGGAGCAAGCAACTGTCACAATTATGCAGTGACTGAACCGTTGCTGGCCACAAAGAACAAGCGCAGTTGCACTAGTCACTAGTGACGGTCTATGAGAGCGGGATACTTTCTGTCAGGAGTGTAGCCTTGCACCGCGTCACCTCAGCCAACTCTTCTGGGGCACACGCTGGTCCAAGTGATCACTGTACTTGTGCGCCTGCACGAGTCACCACACAGTTTTGCTGCAAACGCAGCTAGCCTCAACCAGAGGTCATCAGTGCCTTCAACAAACATGATGGATCCGTGACCGCAACAGATGAAAATTATGGCACCCCTGGGCTCTTTCCACTTCAACAGCCTGAGATTTCCTTGCTGCGCTACCTGAGTGGCCGTTGGAGGGCACGCCAGCGGCGTCGGAGGCTTGACCTTGGCCGGGGCATCATTTGACAAGAACTACTACATGAACTCCTTGCAGGAAATCTCAATTTCGTTCCAGTCAAGGGCCACACGCACTTGAAGTTCGCATGATGGCTGCTGCCGATGACCAGCTGCATCGAAGCGCCGAACTCCTCCTGAAAAGGTGAGTAGGAAATTTTCGAAGCGCTGCAAGTGCTTCAGAGTCCTCTACTTCCAAGGATCTTGGAACTCAAGGTGGTACATAATTTCTTCCATCAGCAGTATGCTTGATACTCCAATTTGATGCTTTCGCCAAGTGAATAGTGGAAATTCAGGCTACTGTACAGCATACGTGACACTTGGGTAGGCTTTTTTCATATTGAGGAAAAGATTTACAACGATGATGCAGGCACCAGCTCTACCACGCTTGTGATTTGGGGTCCCTCAAACTGGGCACTTAGCAATGCCGCAGTAATCCTAACATGCTTATCGACCACTATTGCGAGAAAGACACCTTTCTTTGAAGACACATCAACATGGCTCAAGTCCTTGAGGGAACAGTGCAGGACCTCAGGTTGCAACCCTACATCTGAGATCTGCTTCATGCTGGAGCTCTCCCATCTCTGCTCTCCGCCAGCATCTGTGTCTTGCCCCCGGTCAAGCTAGAGATTGCCGGTCTTCCCCTTTTAGGCTACTGCAAAGGAAAGCCCCTCCGCCCTTCTTCCCCTTGTTCTGCCAAAAAATTGTTGTGGCGGTCCTTGGGTGGCATGAAATACCTGCTTGCCAAGTTGTTTGTGTTTCGAACGCAGTGTGTTTGCTGCGTTAGGAGGAAAGAGGAGAACATGTAACGTTTTGATAAGTGCTGATAGGATTTCCCAGTCATTGTCTCTGCTTTGTTAAACAGGGTAAGGGGGGCGTTGCGAGGCGCGACCGAAACCGGCCCACCGAAAGACAGCCCGACTGAAGACACAAAAAACTGCAGGACTGTAAAGCAGAAAAACGCAGCCAAAAACTGTGGCATGAACTGACTTCCTTGGCTCTAAGACCCAACATGAACACGCGTAGACCTGTAGAAAAATCCCGAAAGTGCAAGACCGGAAAAGCAGCACTGATGCGACATTTTGGGAAAACTTCCCTGAGCAGCCGCCATTCGCTGTGGGCTAAGCTTCGCGCCAAATCCAGACCCCACGGCTTGTCATAGTCCACGCGCGTGGCACAGATCTTGCCATTCTCGTGCTGGATTTCAAACCTCATCACATCATTCACATCATGGGAAAACGTTGAGAAGGACACATTCCAGCTCCTCTCACAAATAAGTCTTGGACTTGTCTGGGTGCTTGTCCGTTCGACCTCTCACTGAGGCTTCGTTGTCGCAGGTGAGATGACCCGGATCGCGCACCTTACAGCACGGCATGACATCACAGGCGCGTCCTCCATACAAGGACTCTGAGACATCATGCTCAAAGAACTTCTTCAAAATCACATTCCGACAACTCGGCTTCCAGCGCACTTCTTGCTGGAGTGCAGACTTGAGCCGATCGGAACTGCCACCATGCCAGAGAAGAGGCCTGAATCCTGGCGCGCAAACCCCAGGAACCCCGAGAATATTAGGATGCCAGGATACATGTTCCCACCAATCCCAGACTGAGCCGATCTTGGCCCGTGCTGTCCAACAGTCTTGCAAGGCACTTGGTTCGCAGTGGCTCCATGGGCTATCTAGAATATGGTGGCGAGTTCTGCTCGCGTAAAACAGCATTTCTTTGGAAATCTCTCAACAAGGCCAGCACTGAACAAGCAGAAATCAGCAGCATGGCCAGAGGCAAACAATCCCGTACCTGGAAGGTTCCTGAGAACCTGAAAGATCTGCCAGTGGGCAACTCGTTTAGGTCGAGGAAACACTGGAGGCGTATTCAATCTTTCTTACTAGGGGTTGCCAGACTTCGCAGTGAAAAGGCTAATGGCATCTAGCCTCTAGTCACTCTGGCGGCAGAAGCCAAAAGAAAGAACAAACGAGGCATGGACAGCCCAACAAACGTTCCGCCCAGCCCTATCTGGCTTACAGGGACAGATGAAAAATCGTGGGAGAAATTGAACACCCAACAGCTGCCATTGGCGATCCGACAAATGAGTGGATGCAATGCTATTGTCACAACCCAAACATGCAGCTTTGCTGGATGTTGATCTTGGAACGCCAAGCTTTGCGGACATGTTTTGTTGCAAGGTTCAGTCAAAAAACATGTTGCCGTCTTACCGGTTACATCCTGAAGATTAGCATGCCAAGAAACTGATTGTTACAAAATGGTGCGACCAGAGAGTCGGGGGAACGTTATTGAAGGGAGATGGGGCGGGCACAAGGGCATGCTTCCCTGCTGTGCACGTCACCAAGGTCCCTTTCAGCCCCACCCACTGTTACGGCAAAAGGCATAGGGAGGAAAGAAGCACTGGCAATGCTGGGCTTTGAGACCGCTGTCAGTGACAACTGCAAGATCAATGTCAACAAGATCTGTCCTGAAGCTTAGGCATCGCCATGTCCTCTGCATGGATCATATCCGCCTGGCGGGCAAGTTTGCAGATTCATGGCACCCCGGTTTCAAGCGTCTCACTTTCGTGCCCGCCTTGCTGCATGATAAGACCTCGACGGGCACACGCATTTAAATCACGTTAGAAGCTTTACACTTGTCCGAGATCCCTGCCAGGTTGCTCCCCCAAGGGTCTCGATGGTCTGTTCTTTCTGCGCAAACTTCACCATGTGAGTTCGTGTAGATGTGGAACCTTGCATCAAGCATCCTCCTAAACTTGGGTGCCTCAACGTCTAGCGACCCTGCTTTCACCTTCATCCTAAAACTCGCCATACCTACATCCATGAGAACGGCAAGGGTTATTCATGCAACGGTTGATTGCAGATGTTTCCCCACCGTTGGTGGCCAAGTACTCTCCAGTGTCTGCAAGAGTGCTATCCCAAATCTCAGCGGAGGAGAGGCAATGCTTCCGGGCATGCCACCCCCTTGGCTCGTCCGGCTTGCCCCTCTGTCTAATTCAGTTTGGCCCCTACATCAGAACTGCATGTCGTGCTTCACGTGCGGATTGACGGTCTTTGAGAGTTGGATAGCTTCTATCAGGTTATTCTGATCCCTCATTGGGAGGATTGCCACCGTCTCACCTCAGCCAAGTCTTCTGGGGCACGCGCTGGTCGATGTGGTCGCTGTACTGGTGCGTCTGGACATGTTACAACACAAACGTACTGCGAATGCGGATAGGCTCAGAAAAAGGTCGCCCATGTCTTCAATGCATGAGCATTCTGCCTCCCTGGGCTCTTTCCACTTCAACAGCCTGAGATTTCCTTGCTGCGCTGCCTGCGTGGCTGTTGGAGGACACTTCAGGGGTGTTGGAGTCTTGACCTTAGCCCGGGCATCATTTGACAAGAAGAACTACATGAACTCCTTGCAGGAAACCTCCGTAGCTTCGTCCGCTCAAGGGCCAAACGCACTTGAAGTTTGCAGCATGGCTGCTGCCGATGACCAACTGCGTCGCACGGCCTAGCTCCTCCTGGGAAGGTGTGCATGGAAATCTCAAAGCACTTGGGGTAAGTACTGAAATTCCACGGATTTTTGGACTCAAGGTAGTGCAGAGCTTCTTCTGTAAGCAGGGTGCTTAGTGCTTAGCACTGCAGTTTTGATACAGCAGCCGAACATGCCAAATACTTAGAACAGCGGCATAACTGGTAGTCTAAGTTCTTCTGTTTGGGAAACTGCTCTTGCACAAGCTACATTACCTTACTATCATCACTACTTGTCTCCACGCATGCCATGTGCGATCCATTTGTGCATGCTATCGTCACGGTCACATTTGCCTGTACTTTGATTCTGACAGAAGCTCCCTGCCCACATGAACTCGCACTGCAGGCGTGTAAGGTAAAATTTGGTAACTGATTTTGCCTAAGGACCAAAGTCACACCCAATCCGCGCAGGAGCCTCGAGCTGTCCGAAGAACTGAACTATTGAAGGTGGAGGAGGATCAGCCGCTCAGAGGCTTTCTCTACCGGCAGGCCAGGGGGGGCCTTAGGAAGCATCCTCACCCCCCCATCAGATCTACAACAGCCCCAGTTGTTCCCACTATTTGCCTACTTACCAAGTCCCCCTGACCCTCCAATTACTCTTCATGTGCAGGGCACTTGCCACCAGGAACCGCATGGTATTGCTCAAAGGAACCCTCGCGGTGTGAGGGATCCTCTCATCCCTCCCCCTCAAAACCTCCCACCCCCCAATAAGAAACACCCCAGAAATAGTGCCAGCATACAATTCGGGGAATATTTGTCATTTACGGGGCGGGGGGTTGTATTTTCAAGGAGGATTAAAACCTATGTAACCCACACATAATCATTTCCATTTGACTTTCAACTTGATTCTCCATTTCTGCGTCATACCGCCTAAAACCCAAGTCGAATCTCCCTACATGGTCCCCATAGACCCCTAAAAAGCCCTGCAAGGACGGAAACGGGAGAGGGGATTAGGAAACTTTGTAGAAACCCCATATCCAGAAGTGCAACCGAACGTGCCTCTGCCTTGGGCTTCGGTACTTCCTCCACAGCCGGGTAACGTACGAGGACCCCTAAATGTACTCCGAATTAGGAACCCCAATGGGTTGCGGAGGTTGAGGCAAGTAGGATCACGTTGTTCTTACAACATGCTATAACTCAAAGGGGAACTAAAAGTTACCATGCTGGGACTACAGCATCACAATTCGCAACACTCACTGCCCGGGCGAGGGGGTGTTAAAATAAAATTGTGGCGCTCTTTTGGGCTCCTCATTCATGATGGAAGCTGTTTGGGCGTCAAAACTTGGCTCAGGTTCGGAGTTGAGATTATCTTGGCTTGCTGCCCTGTTAACTCTACAAATGTTAGCCCACACTGTTACTTCTCAACTTAACATGTCGTACAAAAAGCCTGCCATGACTCCCACAGATCTCCTCGCTTAGAATGCAAGTAATCTCTCCCTTAGTACGAGTATTAAAAACCGCCGCCCCTTCATCTGCCTAATAGCAAGCATATGCAGCATATCCATCGTTCAACTCAGTACTGACGCTTTCATACATTAGCCACTGAAATTTGGGCGACTGCAGGGAATACAAAACACGGTTCTGATGTAGTCTCTTCAAAGTGGGCACCCTTAGCACCCCAGCGATAATCCACAATATACAAGCATCCTTACAACCACTATCGCGAGAAAGACGCCTTTCTTTGGAAACACCCCAACATGGCTCAAGTCCTTGAGGGAACAGTGCAGGACCTCGGGTTGCAACCCTACATCTGAGATCTGCTTCATGCTGGAGCTCTCCACTCTCTGCTCTCTGCCAGCATCCGTACCTTGTTGCCCATCTTCCATTGCGGAAAAAAACTGTGGGGGCGGGGCGGGGGCGGGTTTTGGCTGGCAGGTCTTATCCAGCCCCGACACCAAGCAAACCCAGGGCAGCTGGGCGGGACCTCCAAAACCTCCCTTGCATGCACGGACGCTGCAAAACTAACGCAACTTGCGAGAAACTACTCCTGCCAAACGACAGAGTAAAGCTTGAAACGTGTCACAAATGTTTGCGGCAGTCTCCACCGAAACAAAACCTCTCACGGTCCGATGGCTTCATCTCTCTCAAAAAACACTGTCAACGCTCAGTCACGAGCTATAGTCAGCAAATCTGTTCTTGAGCTTCGAGATGTTGGGGGGCATCCCAAAACCGTCGAAAACATGCGGAACAAACATGCTTCTGTGAACTAAACCGTGTGTTTTGTCCTGGCTGGAACCTTATAACTTATAACAGACTGTTAAAGTTCCAGGGCTTGTTAGGCCTTGCAGCCCTTAAAATTGATGCGTCTGCTGTTGATAAGAATAGCGCAAGGGTTGTGAAGCAGAAGTCTCGAAAAGATTCACAGGATGCCTGCATGTTCGTGTCCAGCTTGTACTGTGCGTCAAGCTCTAGAACATTTGTTTGCTGTTGAGAACATAGCCTGTGGAGTCGCACCCTCCCAATTGCAAAACATAGACAAAAACGAGAGCATGTAGCTTCTTTCTCAAGTTTTGACAGGATTTTCCAGACATGGCTTGTTGAAACAAGGTGTTGCGAGGCTCATCCGAGACCGACTGACCGCCCGTCTGATAGAAGAAAACAACACTAAAAAAACGGATGCGAAAAACAAAACAAAAACGGACCAGCTTCCTTGACTCCAAGAACGACCCAACATGCACACGCGTAGACCTGTAGAAAATTCCCGAGAGTGAAAGACTGGAGAACAGCACTGATGCAACATTTTGGGAAAACTTCCCTGAGCAGCCGCCATTCGCTGTGGGCTAAGCTTCGCGCCAAATCCAGACCCCACGGCTTGTCGTAGTCCACGCGCGTGGCACAGATCTTGCCATTCTCGTGCTGGATTTCAAACCTCATCATATCAGAGCGGGACATGGAAAAACTTTAAGAAGGACACGTTCCAGCTCCTCTCACAAATGAGTCTCGGACTTGTCTGGGTGCTTGTCCGTTCGACCTCTCACTGAGGCTTCGTTGTCGCAGGTGAGATGACCCGGATCGCGCACCTTACAGCACGGCAATGATATCACAGGCCTGTCCTCCATGCAAGAACTCTGAGGTATGATGCTCAAAGAACTTCTTCAAAATTACATGGAAACCCAACAACTCGGCTTCCAACGCACTTCGTGCTGGAGTGCAGACTTGAGCCGATCGGAAGCGCCACCATGCCAGAGAAGAGGCCTGAATCCTGGCGCGCAAACCCCAAGAACCTCAAGAGTACTAAAGATACCTGTTTCCGCAAGGACCCACATGACAGACTGCACATTTCAAGAAGACCAACTGCAGCAGCGGCAGCGCCACAACAGACACACTATATTCATAATCTCAGCCAATTTTGACTCAAGCACCAGCTCATGCTGTCCAGCAGTCTTACAAAACACTTCGATCAACATGGATCCATGGGCCATCCAGAACAGGTTGGCGAGTTCTGCTTGCAAAAAACAGCATTTCTCTTCATACGTCTCAGAAACGCCAGCATGTGGCAAGCAGGAACTTGCGAAGCATCTAGCCTCAAGTAACTCCGGCGGCAGGAGCCAAGAGAAATGAAAAATGAGCCATGGACAACCCCACAAGTGCTCTGCAGAGCCCTCGCTGGTCTCAGGTTCAAGTAAAGACAAATGAAAGTCGTTGAGACATTGAGCATCCAACAGCTGCCTCTAGCGGATGTTGCGTTCCTCTCCCCGTGTCGCTGCTTTTCATGGAAAGTCGTGTGGGTGGAAAAAGGGGGACTCTTCCTGGCATGATGGAATCTATGGTGGGTTGTAGCCGCCGTTATAGCAGCTGAAAAGCTCAAGACCTTGCCCCCTCCCGTTCAGCCTTCTCCTGAAACAACAAGTTGGGGGCAAAATCCTAGCACCTACTAGCAGAACCCAGTGGCCCGTACAACCTTCCTCAGGATCCGTAGACGTTGCGGGAATTGAGGGTAAGGTGGTGGGAAGGATTCACTCTGTTCCTAGCAGAAGCTAGGATTTGCTCCCCTCCGGGACCCATGTTTTCACCCTTCCGCTTCTGAAAACAAACCTTGGGATGCGGCATCCCGCAGTAACACCTGTTAGCAGAAAGCTGGTGGAGCTTCCATGCTCTGTCAAGACCAGGTGGTTTGTGCCTATGTTGATGCTCTCATCAAAAAAAGCTGCAACCTCCTCCCCCCCCTCCCCCCCCGCCAGCCCCCCGGCCAATGACTTACCGTTGAGGGGAGGCTGTTGCGTCTGGCTATCGCATGGAGGCACTGCTAGCATGCTCATGCCCAAGAATTTGAAGCTCTGCTGAAGGTTGACCCAAGCCCGCCCAGTTTCGCAGCACTTTTTGTCGCAACCTTGAAGCAGAAGACATCTGACCTTCTTGTGGGTCTTATGGCTGCATGCGGTAAACCATGGACCACAAAAAAAGAAATGGTACTGGAAGGGAGACGGAGGGCATAAGGGCATGGTTTGCTGAGACACCATGCCGACTGTGCACGTCACCAAGGTCCCTTTCAGCCCCACCCACTGGCATGGCAAAAGGCATAGTAAGGAAAGAAGCACTGGCAATGCTGGGATTTGAGACCGCTGTCAGTGACAACTGCAAGATCAACGTCAACAAGATCTGTCCTGAAACTTAGGCATCGCCATGTCCTCGGCATGGATCATATCCGCCTGGTGGGCAAGTTTGCAGATTCATGGCACCCTGTTTTCAAGCGTCTCACTTTCGTTCCCGCCTTGCTACATGATAAGACCTCGACAGGTGCACGCATTTTAATCACGTTAGAAGCTTTACACTTGTCCGAGATCCCTGCCAGGTTGCTCCCCCAAGGGTCTCGATGGTCTGTTCTTTCTGCACAAACTTCACCATGCGAGTTCGTGTAAATGTGGAACCTTGCATCAGGGATATCAAGGATCCTCCTCAACTTGGATGCCTCAAGGTCTAGCGACCCTGCTTTGACCTCCATCCTAAAACTCGCCATACCTGCATTTACGAGAGCGGCGCGCGTTGTTCATGCAACGGCTCGTTGAGGATCTTTCCCCACCGCTGTTGGCGAAGCACTCACTCACTGCCAGAAATTGTAGTTCGAGGTTCACAAAGATTTCATCTTCTCCAGTGTCTGCAAGAGTGCCATCCCAAATCTCAGCGGAGGAGAAGCGATGCTTCCGTGCAGGCCTTCCGATTGGCTCTTCCGGCTTGCCCCTCTGTCTAATTGAGTTTGGCCCTACACCATTACGGCATGTTCAACAACTTTTGAGCGCGTCGTGCGTGCTTCACGTGTGGATTGACGGTCTTTGAGAGTTGGATAGCTTCTATCAGGAGTCTTATTCTGATCCCTCCTTGGGAGCATGGCCATCGTCTCAACTCAGCCAACTCTTCTGGGGCACGTGCTGGTCGAGGTGATCGCTGTACTTGTGCGCCTGGACAGGTCACCACACATACCTCCTGCGAATGCGGATGGGCCCAGACAAAGGTCGCCAGTGTCTTTAGTGATTGATCATATGCCCTGTAACCCTGACATAAATGAAAATTGTTGGCGCTGCCTGCGTGGCTGTTGGAGGACATTTCAGCGGTGTTGGAGTCTTGACCTTAGCCCGGGCATCATTTGACAAGAAGAACTACATGAACTCCTTGCTGGAAATCTCAATTTCGTTCCACTCAAGGGCCACACGCACTTGAAGTTTGCAGCATGGCTGCTGCCGATGACCAACTGCGTCGCACCGCCTGACTCCTCCTGCAAAAATGAACGTGCAAATCTCGAAGCACTTCAGGTACCCAGAGTACCGTAGTTCCAAGGATCTTGGGACTCAAGGTGGTGCAAAGCTTCTCCTGTTAGCAGGGTGCTTCGTGCCAACAACAGTGGCATGACTGGCAATCTAAGACTGAATCCTTCCGTTTGTGGAAAGTGTTCTTGCGAAAACTAAATTATCTTCAATATCACTGCTACTTGTTGCTACGGAAGGAGGCTCTCTGCACACATAAACTCGCACCGTAAAAGGACACTTGCCCTCAGGAACCGAAAGAAACACGCGGGATACAATCCTGAGAGATAATGGGCACGCTTCGAGATCCCATAATCCTCTCCCTTAACAAAGCTCCCACCCCCGTGACAATAAATACTACCTAGATAAGGCCCTTGTACAGGTCAAGGAATAAGAATTGTTAGGGGGAGGGATTGATTTCTATGCGTTCTATGTGTAACCCAAGTTTCCATTTGGTTTTCTGTCGGATTGTCCATTTAATCCTGCATGCTTTGGTAATACCGCCTATAACTTAGGCAGATATCCCTACATGGTCCTTACATGTTCCACACAGCACCTCATCATGGGGCAGTTAGAATAAGTGGAAACTCGAGTATCCAGAACTGCAACTGATCATGTTCCTCCCCAGCCGGGTAGCGTTGTGTAGTGGTCAGGAGAATTGCAAGGTACTTTTCTGGGACTATAGCATCACAATTTGCAACACTTACTGCCCAGGCGGGGGAGTCTTGAAATTGCGGCACTCTTCGGGCTCCTCATTCATGATGGAAGCTGTTTGGGCGTCAAAGACTCTAACCTTGGGGGACCGCCCCGAATGTCGTACAAAACTTGGCTCAGGTTCGGGGTTGAGATTTTCTTGGCTTGCTGCCTTGAGGACTCTACAAATGTTAGCCCACACTGTTACTTCTCAACTTAACATGTCGTACAAAAAGCCTGCCATGATTCCTGCAGATCTCCTCGCTTAGAATGAAATTAATCTCTCCCTTAGTACGAGTATTAAAAGCCCGCCGCACCTTCATATGCCTAATAGCAAGCATGTCCATCGTTCAACTTAGTACTGACACTTTCATACTTTAGCCACTGAAATTTGGGCTGCTGCAGGGAATACGTAACACGGTTCTCATTTAGTCTCTTCAAAGTGGGCACCCTTAGCACCCCAGGGATAATCCACAATATACAAGCATCCTTACAACCACTATCGCGAGAAAGACGCCTTTCTTTGGAAACACCCCAACATGGCTCAAGTCCTTGAGGGAACAGTGCAGGACCTCGGGTTGCAACCCTACATCTGAGATCTGCTTCATGCTGGAGCTCTCCACTCTCTGCTCTCCGCTCTCTGCCAGCATCTGTACCTTGTTGCCCATCTTCCATTGCGGAAAAAAACTGTGGGGCTGGGCGGGGGCGGGTTTTGGCTGGCAGGTCTTATCCAGCCCCAACACCAAGCAAACCCGGGCAGCTGTTGGGGGGGGCATGCCAAAACCATCGAAACCATGCGGAGCAAACATGCTTCTGAGAACTAAACCTTGCCTTGTCCTGGCCACAAGGTCATAACCCGAGAGGCCCACTCATTAAGAAACAAAACTCCACCGTGACCCCACGGTGCTCGTGATGCTGGCTCCCTAGATACAGAACCTGGTTCTAGACAGATCTCACTGAAGCAATAGCATTGTGGGCGGTAGTTGGTGTCTTACCCTTGGCAGCACGTCGCAGAGGTCCCAAGTCTACGAGCGCACCGAAGCAAATTTGTAGTTTACTATGCTCTGGCTTTCGCCGCCCTCAGGGCCTCAACCCAGCCACCCGATACCCAGCCATCTGCGAAATGAAATCGCAAGACACCACACAGCACAGATTCGGGAGGAAGGACAAATAGCAGGACAGGACACAAGACGGATTCCAGCTCGCAAGGCTTGCAAACCTGTTCTTTGCTGTTGTTGAAATGTTTGCCTCTTAGTTATGTCGCTGGAGGGTGTAGCCACCGCACGTGCATCTTACAGACAGCGAAGACAATTTGTCAAGACTCCCGAGAAGCCTGGACGTCGGTCGCCAGCTTCTAAGGCTTGTTAGACCTTGAAGCCGTACATATAAATATGCTTGACGTTGCGAAGAATGGCTTGTAGGTTGAGATCGAAAGCATTTGTTTGCCGTTGGAGAAATAGCGCGGGAGTTGCATCGCCTCATCTGCAAACCATGATCAAGAATTCTAGTATGCAGCTTATTGCACAGTTTTGACATGATAGCATTTTGAGCCCGGCCGCCACCGTGTTAGGCTCCATGTCGCTCACGCGAGCTAGTGTTTGCCGTGTACAAATGGAGAGGAGCATGAGAACATGTAGCTTCTTGCCAAACTTTGTCAGGATGTTCCACACCTGGTTTGTTGAAACAAGCAGGGCGTTGAGAGGCTCAACCGAGACAGACAGACCGACCGACCGATCAAAAACAAAAAGAAACAACACGGCTTCGCTAACATTGGGAGCGACCCAATATGACCGCACATACAGTTGAGACTGGAGAACAGCTCTCATGCAGCACTTTGGGAAAACTTCCCTGAGCAGCCGCCATTCGCTGTGGGATAAGCTTCGCACCAAATCCAGACCCCACGGCTTGTCGTAATCCACGCGCGTGGCACAGATCTTGCCGTTCTCGTGCTGGATGTCAAACCTCATCAGGTCGGAGCAATGCACGGGAAAATTTGCTTCTCTAGCTGTATTCCAAAATAAGTCTTGGACTTGTCTGGGTGCTTGTCCGTTCGACCTCTCACTGAGGCTTCGTTGTCGCAGGTGAGATGACCCGGATCGCGCACCTTACAGCACGGCAATGATATCACAGGCCTGTCCTCCATGCAAGAACTCTGAGGTATGATGCTCAAAGAACTTCTTCAAAATTACATGGAAACCCAACAACTCAGCTTCCGACGCACTTCCTGCTGGAGTGCAGACTTGAGCCGATCGGAAGCGCCACCATGCCCGAGAAGAGGCCTGAATCCTGGCTTGATAAGTTTGCGACACAGGTGATGAAGGGTCCCTTACAAATTCTGCAAACCTCAAGAATATTAGGGGTTACCGCATGGATCCCAACAACGGACTGCACCTTCCAAGCTAACCACCGGCCGTAGCGGCAACGTCATCACAGACTGCTGTCATGATCTCAGCCGATTTTGACCCAATTACCAGTCCATGATGTCCGGCAGTCTTGAGTTCAACGCGCACCCATGGGCCATCGAAAACAAGGTGGCGAATTAAGTTGCTGCTTTGCCGTCTCAACATGGCCAGCACAGGGCAAGCAAATATCAGAGGAACAACGAGCCATTGACAAGCTAACAGGAGCTCTGCAGAGCCCTAGCTGGGTCTCAAGTTCAGGTAAGGACAGGAGCTCTAAGGCAGGGAGTAAAAGCAGCCTTGCAAAAACAGGAATTGAGCCACAGGGACTCTAAATTTTGTCCTAAGGCTTGGTGCGGAGACCGGCGGGATAAAGATTAGGAGCTCGGAGTTCAGGAATTGGCAGACCACATGCTACCAAATTCTGACCTGCTATAAGGAGTAGGTACTCCTGTAAGGGATGCAATTGTGCATCTTGGTGTTATTATGCTGGGCGGCAATCCCAAGTCACACTGACCAATGATAAACACTGTTAAACGGTACGAGCCGCGCTCAACTCCAACAGTATCTGCTTGGCATGTTGGATCAATGCCTAGATCTCAAAGTCTAGAAAACAGTGCTACGTACTTATGCAGATGGGAATAACTGCACAGCTGTCATCCGCGGATGTTGGCAATGCGCAACACCAAACTCATGGCTTTCAGATGACCACTGCATGAGGCAGTGCAAAAGAAGTGCTAGCACGCTTTCGCCACGAAAGTGCAGCTCTGACATCTCTGACAATTGTTTCCTCGAAATCGCAGATCTTTGCTAGTAGTTTTTTGTTGCAGCCTCGAATCAAAAAAACATCTTGGCTTCTCATGGCTACATCCGATAAAACACGTGAAAGAGGGCCGTGAACAAATGGTGCAGGCAGAGAACAGAGGGGGGAAGGGAATGCAGCTGGAAAGAGGGTGCAAGTTGGCAAGGGCATGGTTCCCCTCACACCACTGCTATATGAACTAGAGAAAGGGAAAGAAGAAGCACTAGCTATGTTGGCCTTCGTGACTTTGCACCTGCTATCGATGACTTCACAATCGACAACTGCATTTGCGTCAACAAGATCTGTCCTGAAACTTAGGCATCACCATGTCCTTCGCATGGGTCATACCCGCCTGGCGGACAAATTCGCAGCTTCATCGTAAAACGTTTTCAAGTGTCTCTCTTTCTTGCCCGCCTTGTTACACGATAAGACCTTACCAGGCACATGCTTGCAATCACGTCAGCAGCGTTGCAGTTGTCCGAGATCCCTGCCAGGTTGCTCCCCCAAGGGTCTCGATGGTCGATTCTTTCCGCACAAACTTCACCATGTGAGTTCGTATAGATGTGGAACCTTACATCAGGGATCCTTCAAACAGGGGTGATTCGGGTCTAACATGACAGTAGATGCCGCTGGGTGAGCGTGGGAGAGCCTTAGTGCTTGAGATTTGCCAGTCCCATAATTGCTTGGACGACTGTTTCTTTGAGAGATGCTGCCTGATGATGTGTCTCACCATGTCTTTTTGTGCGTTGATTTTGCCCTTCCATGCTTACCAACAAAATTCTGGATAGCAAAGCTACTCACACCTTGGCAAGCAGTACGAACGAGCCACGGACCCCTGCATGCTAAACGGCTGCGGATCTGTTGCCACCGTTGTTGGTGAAGTGCTCACAGCTTCAAATTGCCCTTCCCAATTGACACGAAGTGACACAAATTTGTATCTCAAATGTCAGCAGAGGAGAAGCCATCACGGAGGCTTTGTTGTGGTTCCTGGGACCCCTGGTTCTTCGGGCTTGCCCTGGTGTTTCAATTCGCTTGTGCTCTTACACAATTTACAGCTATCTTTCTCAAATCCTTGAGGCTTGTCGTGCAGGCTGCTGGTCTTTGAGAGCGCAAGACCGACTGTCAGGAGTCGTATTCGGATCCCTCACTGGGAGCATTGCCACCGCCTCACCCCAGCCGCTGGGGCACGCGCTGGTCAAGATGATCGCTGTACTTGTGTGCCTGGACAAGTCACAAAACAGAGCTCCTGCGAACACGGCTGGGAACAGAAAGAGGTCGTCAGCGTCTCTAACGATTCACGATGTACTCTTTGACCCTGACATACTGTATGATTGTCCCTGGTGGCCCAAGATTTTTTGGGCTGCGCTGCCTGTGTGGCTGTTGGAGGACACTTCAGGGGTGTTGGAGCCTTGACCTTGGCCGGGGCATCATGTGACAAGAAGCACTGCATGAACCCCCTTGTGGGCAGCCTCAATTTCGTTCCACTCAAGGGCCACACGCACTTGAAGTTTGCAGCATGGCTGCTGCCGATGACCAACTGCGTCGCACCGCCTACCTCCTCCTGGGAAGGTGTGCATGGAAATCTCAAAGCACTTGGGGTAAGTACTGTCATTCCACGGATTTTTGGACTCAAGGTGCTGCAGTGGTGCAGAGCTTCTTCTGTAAGCAGGGTGCTTAGTGCTTGGCACTGCAGCTTTGATACAGTAGCCGCATATGCCAAATACTTAGCAAAAGTGGCATGACTGGTAGTCTTCTGTTTGGGAAATTGCTCTTTCACAAGCTAAATTACCTCATTATCATCGCTACCTGTCTCCACGCATGCCATGTGCGTGTTTCCCTGTCCTTTGATTCTGGCAAGCCAGCATGTGCTCCCGAATCTGAGACGGAAGCTCCCTGCCAACAGAAGTTCTCCGCAGCTACAGGAATTACCGGTACCCTAGTGACTAGTGCGGGCATCTAAGGCATTTTGGCCCTTGATTTGCCTTAGCCAAAACCGCACACCCAATCTCTGCAGCAGCCTCGAGCTGTCCCACATGCACCGAACTACTGAAGCTGGAAGAGGAGGATCCACCCTGCAGAGTAGGCTCGCTCACACGAAGACTGGATGGTCAGGGCTGGGGCCGCCGGGGCCTCTGAGTGGAACTCTGAATGAAAGGAGTGGAACTCCGCACCATGTGTGGAGGAGCCACCCGCACTGTGTCCACAATCGATGACCTGATAGCCAACTGAAGAACAACTGAGCTGATGATAACTTTGCTGTGGGCCACAAACACACCACTGCGCTGGGCACATCAAGTTTTTTCTACAAGCATGCGAGGCCCAGTGCTAAGGCTAAACAATACAGCATGAAGCTGATGCGTGTGTTGCAGGGCAGCAATACCCATCACAAGAGTGTGAGCGCTTCCTCCTGAGAACAGCAGTGCATAAGGCTCTACTAGTAGTTTGCACATCTGGGTATTCAAGTTCAGATCTTGACCTTTGAGTGCATAGGTTACAATAACATGGAAACCAGAACAGCATGTCCTTGCATTTGCCATCGGTGTCCAGCAGCTCGTCACCGCCGAACATGGCATGGAAACGCGGCCGAGCTCGTTCCATCGCCTCGAAGTCGAAGTACGCAACTGGACGAGAACTTGCCATCACATGTTGCATCTGCCGCTGTGTGAGGCCCAGGAAGAAGGTCAAATACCCGCACGCCGCAGCAACGCTTCTGCCTACCCCTGCATTGCAGTGGCTGTAAACCGTATGACCGCGGCGGATCAGCTGGCCAAACAAAAACGACGCCTGCGGCAGCATTTGCGCACGGCCGTCAGTGGACATGTCAAACGTTGGCATCCAAATGTACTGCATGCCTCTGCTGTCATAAATACGGCTGACCGCCAAAGGGTCTTCCTCCATGCCTATGCCAGCCACACAGTTCCGTTTGCAATCCTCTTCGGTCTGAAAATTCACTACGACAGTCACGCCAAGTGAGTGCAACTGGTCGATGTGCGATCGCTGCCTGGGGCAGGAGCCAACGTACAGCTGACCCAGGACCTTTCGAATGGAGATTTCGCCGCGCTCCTGTCGATCAAACAATCTCATTCCCTTTAAGGTTCGTGCGTTGGGTTTGGGTCTTCTGCGATGGGGTTCTGCAAGTCTTCACAGTATCACTGAGCCATACGCCTTGACACCCTGATAGAAGCGAGCCGTGTGATCGCTTTCTCCACCACCAGGTTCAGCGAAGCGCACCACGGGCAGCAAAACAGTCTGCCCATCCTCTCCCTGACCTCGTAGAGCCGCCAGAAATTTTGAACACTCGATGATCATTTTTGGATGAAATAAGATAATGGAAAAGAAAAGGGAAACTACATTTTAGAGTTTAGGATCTAGGGCAGAGAAATCACATTGAAGGGGTCAGCTTGCAAAGCAAAGCAGGGACCGCCATGACCCTCGAAAACTCACTTCAACTACGAACTGGGCACGCAGCCCAACAAACCAACAGTGGATTGCTGTTAAGGAACCAAAGCTAAGTTAGCATAATCAGGGAACCATGATATTTAAAATACATCCAAATGATGGTAACTGCTTTTAAGCTCCTCAAAAACCCTCAAAAACCCATAAAAGCTCTGTAAAACCACAGTTTCCAGCTGATTATCTATTTGATACTGGACGATTTTTTAACATTCACCAAGCTCTACAGTATATAGTCCCCCTTAAGTAGATAGAATATATGGTATATGGGGATCTTGTTATAAAATACCCAAAGCCATATTCTATCTACTTAAGGGGGACTATACACTCCTGCCACCTTCCAGCTCCAGAATACGGTTCTGCTGGCCGCCCAAGTCCTCCCACTTCCTGGGTTGCTGTTCAGGTACTTAGACTAGGTTATCATAATAAGGAAACCCTGCTTTACTATATACCCAAATGTGGTAACCCTTTCTACCCTATATTCCCCGTATACCTTAGGTGACCATATTATGGTAACTTCATTTACGTTCCTGAACAGCAACCCAGCTTCACACCGTGACCGCGCTCAACGAACTTGTACTCGATGCGCTCGTTGCCCGCCTCAGGCCTGGACTGGGCTTTAGGGTGTAGTGGTTTAGGGTTTAGGGATTTAGGATTTAGGGTTTGGGGTGAAGGGATTTAGAGGTCAGGTTTTTTTTTGTTGCAACGGCTCTTTAACGCCTGCATGAGACGGAAAGACACTCCAGCGTCGGCCGCAAAAACCCCGGGTTTATGGTTTGGGGTTTAGTCTGTAGGATTTCTACGATATATGTGTATGGGGTTTGTAGGGCTCGTGGGGGTTTACGGGCTGCAGGGCCTGAAAACTAGAATAGCATTTGGGAGACAATCAAGACATAAGGGTTTTAAGGCGGCAACATCTTATCAAAAAAGTGGGCTCGAACAGCACCACACTTCAAGTCTAGATAAATTTTGTGCTGCCTTGAACTCAACAAAATTGAAAGCGGCTTACTCAGATGGATCAAGGGACATGTCGACATCCACCCAGTGAAAGTCAGGCTCAGACTGAAGACGCGCATTGGCCAACCGTGGTTGCAGTACCACCGCCTTGTCCAAGCTCCATTTGCCAAGCGATGCGCAGCTCCCTATCACGGCAAGAGAGCTGCCCGGTGGCGCAAAGGACACCACACTGAACCGCACTCTCTTCATGCCAGCTTTGGGCGGTATCTTTCACAAGTACCTTCACTGCATGGGATCGCTTTATTTCCGGTGTCTGTCCATCTGGAGTCTGGACTCTAAGCCTTCTAGAGTAGTGGTGCAGGTGGCGTGGCGTGAGAAAATTGATTGCTGGCCAAATACTGGAGTAAACATGTTGTTGCTGGCTGGCTCAAGCTGCTCAATTGCGGCTGCAGGCAGACAAGCTTTTGGTCAAGTGGTTGCCATGCTGTTGCCACGTGCCCATCAAAGTGATGATCTGAGTTTCAGGCCAAATGGAATGTCCAAGGATCTAGGGTGGTGCTGCAGAGCATGCCATCGTCATCGTGGAAAAGCTTGAACCTTCACTTGCCAGGCTTCAGCAGAAACTGGTCCCTCGTGCCCATTGCACTGCCATGTACAGCTCAGGAAGACGCTTGATTTGCTTCCCTAAATCATCTTCCTGGCAGATCATACAGTGGCGATCTCCAAGAGCTGATGGCTGGCAGTGTCTGGCCTGTGTGACCTCTTTGGGGCAGTGCTGCCCCACGGGCTGCTCAACCTGAGCACCAACAAACTGTCAAGAAGCTACCAGACAGTGGAACTCGCTGTTGGCACTCAGCTCCTGACACATTTTATGTTGGAGAAAGGACTGCTGCCAAAGGTCAACTGGGAGGGCACGGCCTCAGAATGTACGCTGGAGAGGCAATGAACAAATCTCGTGCCTTCACCCATTGTGAGGTGCAGGCATCCACTTGCACTAGTAGAAGTGCAAGGGCGCAAGCCCGTATCCGCACCTCTTGGCGACACAAGCGGGAGAAGCAGAACGGAACAACTAATGATAGTCAAGGTAATAATAAAAAATAGAAATGCTCACAATAACAGAGAAAATAGGTGGTAATAATGATAAATATACTTTATACTCATGTTACAAGTAAATAGTAATAATAATAGTAATAACTTTCTAGCGGAACAACATGAAACAACATGGAAAAGTAGAACAACATGCCAAACTAGGGTACCCCAATATGAGCCCCCAAATACTACAACTGCCCTTATTGCGGGTTAAAGGGGTAATCCTGATTTGGGGAAATCTCCACATGGATGCAGGCTCAAAAAACGGCCTGCATGCCGCGGGGCCAGGCCAGGTGCCGGCCTTAGCCCAGCAACTAGAGTTTGGTGTTTCTTGTTATCGGACCTTTTCCTCTGCAGGAATGCTAAGTCTAGGGTTTGGGGTCTAGGGTTGAGGATTTAGGTTGAAGGTTCAGGGTTTAGGGTGTAGGGTCCGGGGGTTTAGGATTTTTTTCTTCAACCCCACGGACTTTGGACGTTTGCCCTCCCTGGCACAGGGGTCTTGAGGGCTTAGGCTTTAGGGGTATACTGGAAGAGGACTGCGACACTACTACTATCGTATGTAGGATTGCTTCAGCAAAGCCCGAGGTAGCGGCCCAGGCCCCGAGGCATAGCCGAGAGTCGGCCAGAAGCAAGAGCTTGAAGCCCCAAGCGGCGGAAGCACGTTCGCTTACTTTCTGGGAAGCAGGGGAAATGATCCCTACATAACCCCTATATGATATTCCCTTAATGCCTGCTGACCCCCAGCTAGCTTACCCCAAGATTCATGCTAAGAAACATCAACGATGCGAAGACGCACTTTGTGCGCGTCGCCTGGATTGTTGCTTTTTCACATCCAAATCTTGTCAAAACTTTTGCCAAACATCAATAAGGACGTGATAATTATCAGACCGCTTGCAAGCCCTTGAAGGCTTCCGGCCAGATCACTGCACCTGAAGCACGGACTATTTCTCGACCGACAGCTTGCCAGCCCCTCTGCGAGCATTAGTCGTGCGTGAGGCAGGGGAGGCTGTGGCGCGTGCGAGTGCGGTGTTGGGTGGATTGCAGCATCACTACCTCCCCTGTCATCGGAGCATCCACTAAATTAGGTTTCCTCATCCAAGCCCATGAAAAAGCCTATGGACAGTGCAGAACGTTCAGCTTGCCAAGCGTATTGCTAACTTGTGTATGGCTCTGGCACCTGTAGATCCTGCACTGTCCCGGACTACGACCAATCAGCAGGGAGCTGACGCCTCGGAAGGATGCTGTGGCACAAAGCGGCCATCACTCTGCATACAAAGACTAAGACCGCCACGCAACCGCTCCGCCAGGTGCTCAGGCGTGGCCCCAACGTGAAAGACATGTGCTTCACCTCGCATCTTACATGCCGCATGGTCAAGCATGGTCACGACAACAAATTAATGTTTTGCCCTGAGGTGAGGACGTCCAACACCTCCGTGCTGTCCAGGTGGTTGGAGCCATCAAAGCCACCAACAACCAGCAGCTGGTCAGAGCTCAGCGTGGCGGCCTCTCTGCCCCACGTTCTCCCTACATCCCATTACATCCATACCACCTTAAAAGAACTCTCTGAGCCATAGGCTGCACAACCGCTTCGCCAGGTGCCCATGTTAGGGCCCGGCCTGAGCGAAATTGCCATGGGCCCCACTGCGACAACTCCTGCTACTCTTGCCGTAGCACACTCAGAAACCAGCTGGAACGTCATCTTCGAAACATCCAGCACCTGTCCAAGGTGAACTTCTCTCGCTTTTCATGCCCGGAGATCATGCTTGCAAATGGGCACAATGCTTTCCTGTCAATACAGTTTGTTACAAAGACCGTCGGACGATGTCGGACGTGCCCTACAACGGGAACATCTGTAGAAGCAAGACCGAAGCATGCGAAATCCAGTCCTAGAAGATTCCTGCCTCGGTGCTGTCCAAACTGCTGGAGCCATCAGAACCGCCCAGGACCAGCAGCAAGCCTCTGGGAGCTACACCTCAGATCTTCTATAGTTAAACCACCTACAATTAGATGGAATGCAAGCCCTGCATAGGGATGCTCAAGCTCACGCATGGGACAAACATGTTACGCCACGCTTAATGTCCTTCCTCTTAGCTGAGCCGATCATGAGATGGAGAATACCTTCTTCGCCCTTTAACAAACTTGGTTCAGCACTCGGTCCCGGTTGTAGAAGCGCTGTTGCGCAAAAGTTTCTGCGAGTGCTCATCCGGGGCCTTGGCACATCTTGGCACACGGACAGCTTAGCACTCCCAACGTGGCGCAGTAGTCTGGCCCAATCACCATCCCATGCAAAGGCATCTAGAAAGGCCTAGAAGGGAGGGGTTGGAAACAAGGTTTGTCTGGTGCAACCACAAGCCTGAATGCGCATGACTGTCTCTGTGTAAGTCACATCTGAGTGTACTTTTGGTGCTTTACCACCTCGAGCATTTCTCGATTAGGACTGTTAATGCTGTCCGTGCAAACGTCCCGGGGACCGCGCCCAGCAGAGAATGTCATGGAACCCAGATCGAGCAGTTCGGTGCTATCCTCGTCAAACGTGCACGGTCTTACTGTCCCGTGCTGAGAGTTCTGAAGGCTCTATCACCTCATGCATGCATGGACCCTAATTTCAGCACGTAGTCTGGTCTGGCCCAACTATAGGAAGTAAATCTAAACAAATGTTAAGGATGTTGGGATAGTTGGGTTTCACTAAGCAGAAACAGTAGATGTCAAAGTGGAAGTAGCAGCCGCCTCAACAGTAGCAACAACAAGAAAGGCTGCAGCGCTGGGATTAAGAGAATCACACGGAGTAGCTGACAATAGCAGCAACAACATGCAATGGGAGCAACTGCGGCATAGCAATGATTGCAAGTTTCGAAACCTGACAGCTTGGACATCTCCGATTGCCGAGGAAGAATCTGGGACGCAGGCCAGGTCACTGCCACCGTCTGAACCGCCGATGACCAGCAAGCGCTGGCTGTCAATCAATGATGCTGCGCAGGCATTTCGACCTATGGATTGCAAGGAAGTCAGCAGGCATTTCGACCTATGGATTGCAAGGAAGTCAGCGGACGCCTGACTTGGGGAAAGAGACGGACTGTTTGCCAAAGCAGCATTTTGCACAACAAATCCACAGAGACTGCTGTCATGCTTCTGATTTGCGGATATATTTCAAGGAAGGTGCTGAATGGATCCAGCATGTGAAATTTCAGACTGCAGTTAGAATCTTAGCCTCTCGTGGGAACAAAACCTGAAAGCATTACAGGAGAGCAAACCTCAACCTATGCCACCGTCCACAAGAAATCCAATTCTGGGAGCACACAGGGTAGCAAGCCGTGAAATCAAGCATGGCCAATCTCAGCCCAAAAGGGTAAACAACCGTACGTTACATGACAAAAGAAATGCAAAACTGTGCTGTGTGTAGGGGAGCGCTAGCTAAAAAACTCAGAGCTAAAAGTCTGCAAACCTGATACCGCGAAACTCAAAAGGGTTCAAAAGGGTGCGAGAGTCTGGATTAAGACGCAACGGCCAAAGTGCAACGATATGCGACGTGGTGTGGAATATTCTTTGCCTGTAGTGGACATGAGGATTGGCACAAGGAAATCTTCTTGGCAGAGACTGGAAAAGCCGATTTTTGAGAGCGCTTTGAAGCCACGACAGAAATGAAAGGTGCTGCTGCTTGAACTGACTCTTGCCGATTAACGGAAATCTTCCTGGCACACTCTGAGAGAGCCGATGGTACACCCTTAGAATGATGCTTCGGGATGAATAGCAGCTCAGAATCACTCGTGGAGCATTGAAGAGATGACTCTCAAAGACCTGAGGTGGCAACGGGTTCCCATCCGTGGACCACTGGAGAAGGTCATCTTCTCCAAATCAAGTACCTGATGATGGACAAGAAAAGTCAATTTCAGAGGAATCGTCGCTGTGTCCTTTTGCCAGCATCGCAATCTAAGGAATCGTCCTCCGTGGAGTCCAGCTCGCTGGCATCATCTGAACCACCGATTACCTGGACAACTTGTGCAGGGCTTTCTGAATGTGAAGCCAGGATACTTACAGCTCCTTTGCTGCCATCAAGCAGCTAGCAGACTCTTCGCATCCAGTCGCACCGCTGCGCAAGCATTACGCCTGGGAAGCGGCCCAACACGCAGTCATTGCGACTGACCAGGCATCTGCGTGGCCTGGTGCCCATTCTCGGGCCAGCAGTGACCTCACCGGCAAAACAGGTTTCGCAGCAGTTCTCCACTACAGTCGCCTAGAGCAGGAAGGCCTTCAGTGTAACTGGGTCCACCAGCTCTGTGGTATCGAGACTCCTAGCAAAGGGCAACACCAATGCTGACATGCAATCTGGAGCGGGATGACCACCCACCAGTCCTAGAGCCATCGAAACCACCGGCCACCAGGACTCTTCTTTCGTCCAAGGAGGCAACAGCGCAGCCGCTGCGGCCGACGCCTTAGCACACCAGAGCTTCACGCTTAAAGCTTGATGCACCACCTTGAAACTTTGCGTCACAGCTCACCTTGAATTGTGCTTTGCCGCCACAAACAACACAGGCTTTGCAGCCCACACGAGCAGCTCAGGCCAGTACCCATCGTAGGACCCATGGAGAAGGTCATGCTGGCCGTGTCCAAGATCTCATCATCACAAGAATCTACATGTCTTGGTGGCTAACCCATCTGCACTTGTGCTTCACATGGCATGCAGCATCTGGTAGAAGGAACAGAACATCTCAAATCTTGCTGAGGTTGGAGATCTGCTCATCTGAAGCGATCAGGCTCTGGCTTCAGTGCTCCGGTGGTCTGCAGTTCCATCGAACCCACCGAACACGATGACCTCTGCGCGCTCACGTGCTGCTCAGAATACGCTTATAGTACTGACAGCAGCATACTACTAAGTGTCATTACATACAGCTTTCTTGATGCCCTTTTTTCCACGTGGGCGGACTTTGAGACCTCACGGTATATGAACGTGTATCAAGCAAAACAACAAGGGACATCTCAGGTCAAAAGGAATCCAATTACACAGCCCTGAAATTATTATGGAAACCCTAAACTTCCTAAACCCTGACACCAAAAAGTACCCTCTTCTAGGCCCCAAACTCGGCCCGAAGCTGCCAGCACCTGCAGTTTCTTGGGGAAAGGACACTGGCACGTGGAGGTTATCCAGAAAATTAGGGCTACTTTTCTGGGGATTCCCGGAATAAGGATTAAGGGTCTACATTGGGGTCCCCTGTTATTGGAAGCCCCATATTACAGCACAGTGTTGTTATGTACCATGGTAAGCATTGTAGGAATCCATAGGATACTAGTTGGTGATAACTTGGGTTCGGCCCTACCTAGCCAAGGCAAGCAACTACCCCAACATGGGGAGTATCCAACAGTTGCCTTTCCCCTGTTGGAACCCTCTGGCTTCGAAAGCTCCGACATGGACAATGTCAGATTGTAAGTGTGACGATGGTGATGCTGCTGATGGTGTCAATACTGGTCCCGCATTAAAATTTGATACCCATAGTAATTTGCATGTTTGCAGTAATGGTTTGGAGCTGGAAAACACGCTGTCGTAGTTGTCAAGCAAAACGATTGCAAAACCTCATACCCCCGGTCTATCCGCTGCCCTGATTTCAAAACCTTGAACCCTGGATCCCCACCCCAAAGTACAGCGCTGCCTGCGCGGGGCTCCAAGACCCTGCCATGCTGGCAGGTGACACCTGCTCATGCAGAAGCTTATATAGGGACCATCTAGGGACTATATAGGCGTAATATGGGGTTATATAAGAACCATATAGGTGTGACATAGGGTTGTGTTGAAAAGCAAGCATTGGCATCTTTGTTGGGGAACTTCCTCGATGAATGTTCCAGGGTAAGAAAAGCTTTTCGGGTGGCTTCTCAATCGTTGTGGTGTCCCCTTCAGATGCTAAAATGCTACATCCCTGAAGACCGGTATCCGAGCCATCTCTTCCAGCCGCCTTGCTCGGCATCACAGCCTGATCTTCGCTGACCACGGGCGCCTGTGGGGCTACACATCCCTGAATCGTACGTAGCAACCAGCCTGCTGATCAAGATCCTATGTCGCACCTGATCAAATATGGAAAGACATGAAAGATGTACCACATTAATAAAGGAGCACACAATCCTATAGAATATAGATACATGACCTGGGAAAAACCTAGGAAAGAAGGGCTGCAGGTGACAGGCCTTTGGCGGTGTCATGGTCTGACTTTCGGCTGGAGTATGCACCTTGAGCTCATGCACTGGCTTCTGAACCAAAACCCCGAAAGTGTAAAGAAGACGGCGAACTCATGGCTGCCCATGACTGCAAATGCACCATCTTTGTGGGAACATGACATCCAAAGCAAGTACGTCAGAGCAGTGTCGTGTTTCTTTTTTTTCATGGCAGCTACGGATCGCGGTGAGCCTGAGCATGCAGGAGCACATACAGAGCATGACGTGGACATATTAGCTGGCAAGGCTTTTGCAAGAATACTTATCGGCAAAGAGTCGGATAAATCCAGCAGCTCCTCCAAGTCCCCATCATCGTCCACGTCACTTTCCTCAATCAAGCAAGCATATGCAAACAGAAGCTCATGAACGTTGAGATCATGTTCTCGCTCGCGATCAAGTTCTTTGAGGACACCGCTCCAGAAGGCTCACGCTCGTCATCTGGCAAGTCCTACTGCCGTAGGAAGGCGCACCAACGCACTGAAGATTACAATAACTCCGAGACCCCACTCCTGCCAGCTTTCTTTGCGGTGCGCTGTCAGATCCATTGTCTTCTTGACACTCTTCCGGCCACGTCTTCTTCTGGGAGCCAAGCCTGGAACGTGCAGAGGCGCGCAGGCTTGGTGGCTCAAAGCTCGAGGTAGCACTGAGAGCTGAGGCCACAACCCGGCTCTTCGGCCTGCTTTGCACGCAGCTCCTTGGCGAAAACAACTGCGCTTTTCAGGGCTCCGATGTCTACCAGTCTACACATTGACGTAGCCAATCAGCCTGGTTCTCGCGCTCAGTCTCCTCCAACCTTGACTCAAAACGCACTTGGACCCTTCAGCACTCAATACAAGCAAATAGGCTTATGGCTATGAGCAATCGTGCCAATCGCTCAAGTCTATCCGCCAGGCAACTGTTCGCGCAGCAGCCGGAGCTCCTCCTCTCGCTCCGTGGTGGCATCACTTGAAGCAGCGGTTGGCTGCATCCGCAGTGCCTCCATCTCCTGAAGCAGGACACACGCCAAAGAGCTCACGAGGGTGCCCATGATGCTGGGGCCTTCTGGAGGCGTTCCAACTCAGAGCGCAAGTGAGTAACCGTCGGCCGGCTTCCATTTCGCGCAGCTGGGGCTCGTTGAGGCTTGTCTTCGCCTGCTTCCGCCCCAAAGTGCACCTCGAAGACGAGCACCACACAGCATGCGGTTCTGCGGGACTGGACGATGCAGCCAAGACACTGATGGTCTGGCTCTCGGCACAGAAGCCACTTGACCAGGCAATGCAGACTCAGGAGCTGCAAGTGCGCCGGGCTTTTGAGCAACTGCTAGCACGGCTGGGGAGCCCGCTTCCGCTTGGACCACGGCGACTGCCGGAGCAATTGATGGCATGACTGGGGAACCGCCCGCTTCGGCAGCCACTGTCACCGGGGCAATTGCTGGCATGACTGGGGAACCCCCAGCTTGGGCGGTCACTGTGGTGGTCGCTGGAGCAATTTCTGGCATACCTGGGGTTCCCGCTTCTGCTTGAGCGGTCACCACGGGTGCTGCAGAAACAGCTGCACTAGAAGAGGATGGCGCCGTCATGGCCGGCGCAGGCATGGGCAGCACGGTCATGCCTTGGGTAAGCACGGCCGGGGCAGGCATGGCAGGCTCTGGCGTGGCAGCTTGCGGCACGACCGCTTGAGGTGCAGCTTCCTTCCCAATGCCACTCAAACTAGTAGCTGCCTCTTTGGGCATGGATGTACTGGGGGCTGCACTTGGTGGTGTTGAGTGCGGAGCTAACAGTGCCGGCATTGCTTCTGGCACCAGTGGTCCATCTACAGGGGACGGCTGTGGCACCACAGACTGTTGAACTGTGGGTTTCTCACCGGGCATACAGGCTTTGTGTGTCTCAGTGCTCGTGCTGCTGGGCGCGCTTGGAGTGCACGCAGCCATTGTTGAAGTCACGCTTTCAGATGCGTCTGCCAGCCTCGCGCTAGCTGCTGGGACGTCTGCATGTGACGTTGATGTGCATGGTTGCGGAATAGGCCTGATGACAAAGACTTGGCATTCCAACAAACGATTTGCACAGTCATCTGTGCTACTTTGCTGCCAAGACACCAAAGGCCATCTTCAGCCTGCAGCACAGCATACATAGAACATGCTAGCAGCACTCAGCTCATTTTACACATTGGACCTCTGGCGAGACTGGGCAGTCCGGTCTCAGCATGGAAGGAGGAAGTGGCGGCATCAAGGGTCCCATGGACTTCCTTGTTCGTGCCGCCGCTGGCGGCACCTCGGCAAAAGCTACATGCTGCTTCTTACTCACGTTGCACCTCGGCATTAGGCTACCAGCCTGCCGTTGGGCAGAAGCTCCTGGAGGCGCCACAGCAGCTGGCGCAGCAGCTGGCGCAGCAGCTGCCGGCCTCATGCAGGGAGCGAAATGCCTTCTGCACTACAACGCCCTGCAAAGTGGTAGCAAGAGGCCTCGGGTCGGGTCCGACAGGTCGCGGACCCACGCTGGACATACGCACAGACACTGTCTGATGGTGCACTTGATAGCTGGCATGTTCTGGTGCATAAGCAATGCCGGGTGGTCGGACAGGTGGGGCACCGAAACCAGCTGGCGCCATGCCGGGGTGAGACCCTCCGGGCACCGGCGGACGTGCCGGGAGCCCTTGCAAGCCCATGCAGCCTTGTGGTATTGCGCCTGGCGGGGACATGGAGCCTGGCGGCCCCATGGCGCCTGGCGGCCCCATGGGGCCTGGTGGGCCCATGGGACCTGGTGGACACATGCCGGGGTAGCCTGGGTGGCCGCCTTTCTGGAAGCCCTTGCCGGGCGGGCCCTGCCCAGGAAAGCCTTGGCCTCCGCCAGTCAACAGCTGCACACTGTCGAAGCACAAGTCATCTCCCGCCTGGACCTGGGAAGGAACCAGGATGCTGGCTGTTGCCATTCGGCACAGCCTGTCAGCACCGAGCAAATCAGGCGAAAATGCGGAAGATCCAGGCCCTTCCAGGCCTGCTCTGGGACATCTTTCTTTTTCTTCTTCGAAGAACCTGGCTGAAAGCATGCCACTTACGACACACAGCCAAGCAGAACTGCTCAGCGGCCTGGCAAGAATCTCTTGACAACATCCATGGCCAGGACAGATGTGCGATATTGTATGTAGGTTTCAAAATCTGTTTGGTGTGACCCATGTGGCAATGTCAAAGCTGCTCTCACATGCACGGGGAATGGGTTGAGTAACTTGGTGGACAAAGGTGGGGGGGCTCCATAAGGCCTCAAGCTTATCAGCCGGCAGGCTGCGTTCATTCTGTTCTGCAAACATCATTTCCAGCAGCATACTTGTTAAATCGTGCACCATTCAACTCCGAGCTACAGGCTTGCGTTTGCCGAAGCCTGCAGCGCTCACCACACGCCGCCAAGAACGCCGCTTCAATGAAGACTCTGAGGTTGCGACTGCTGTTTGAGCTGCCGGCGCCTTTGACTTGCAGGGCACCAGCATGCACCTTTCTTAATCTTCGTGACGGTCTTTCTAAGATGGCAGCTCTTGTTCCAGCTGCTCACGAGCTTGCCGCAGTTCCTGCCAGCAGTGATGCCAGCTTTTAGCAAAGACATCTCACATAGTTTTGATGGTCACCTTGCGAAACTCCTTCAAATGATCCCCAGCAGAAAGCTCCTATATCAACACCGTACTAAATACCATATTGTCTTGCTTCTGGCTTCTGGAAGTACGGGCCTCCTGCTCCCTTCGAAGCTGGTCCTGTCAGTGTGCTCTCTTGCGGACCCCTTTGTACAAAACAGCTGGCAACTCAGGAATTATGTATGCGTTCAATTGCACTGGCAAAGAATGGGAAGGAGCACATATACGTGTTCCTGTCTTCTGGCAACTTCTGATAACACCGCCCCGAGTATCCCTGGGTCCTGTTTGTTTGCGAGCTCGGCCTGCCAGCAGCATGATGGGGCTGATGTCAGCATGAGATCTGCTGAATTTGATGTAGAAACGACCAGAATGTCCGAGAACCATGCTAGCAAAACTACTGCTTATGAAAGACGTGCTAACAAAAGCAACGGCGAGCTTTACACCCCAAGGAGGCACCTCTGCCTTGTGTCGCTCGCTAGCGGCTGCCTCACACACTGCAATCGCTGCTCTGCAATCAGGCAAGAGGCCAGGCCAAAGTCACGCTAAGCATAGGGCTATTCTGTCTTCTATCAGCGCACGGCGGTCTGCCTGTTGGCTGCCCATTTACTGCTTGGAGCTCAGGTCTCCCCTGTTCAAACTTCAGCATCAAACTTACAAACTCCAATTGCATAATTGCGGTGTCCTTCACTGTCTCGGCAGCCATGAAGACAACGCTTTCAAGCCTTTGGAAAGCCTTGTCTCACCAAGCCAAGACATGATGACTAGCAGCAAAACCCAAAAAATCTGGCCTCCATCGCCTGCTCCACATGATCTCGCAGAGCGTACAGATGTGTTTTCGCGGCTTTTCTGGCCTCACGACACCATGGCTTGAAGAAAACATCTTGTTACATCAATTAAATACTTATGTCAGAACGCACCTTGCTCAGAGTATCGTCGTCCATTCCATCAATGACCTGCATGGTTGCCATCTGTTCATGATTGATCCTGGCACTAGACCAGCCATCTCGCCACAATTTCTCTCCCACAACCCTTTCCGATCCTCGGGCTGCCGTCCATTTCCTGAACATCACACGCATGATGCGCGAACAGCTTAGAAATCAAAAATTCATGGTTTGACTGTTTGACTCTTGAGTGTCTTATACAGCATAAACGCATAAGCAACACAGCAATTCTGGAAAGTGATGGACTGAATTTTCAAACTTGCAACTATCCGCCAACTATCCCAAGGCAGAAGGCAGTTCGGTGTAAACTGTGCGGAGTATATATAAGCCGAAAAAATTTATCACGATACCGCTCCTTTGACACCCTGGGTAAACCTTCTCGCAAACTGAAGTGCCCACCTTTGGGCAGATCCGTTCCGTTGCTCCCAGCCATCATGCCAATGCCAGCGGACATGTCAACCTGCTGGGAAATAGCAATTGCAGATGGCAATCTGAAAAACAATGATAACGGTCAATGCATGAACAACACTGACGGCGACGACGATGACGCCGCACGCCAGTGGCACCGCCGCCACGGACGACCAAGACCGGGAGGACAAAGACAGAGGACGAGGATCACGAGGATGACAGCCGCGAGATAACGACGATGACGGCAGCCATCAGAAAATGCAAGGACATATGGCCTTCAGTTAATTCAAAAAATCTGGGCCTTCTCCAGATGGTCTGGAGAATGTAGGGTTTTCATCACGCACCTTGCGAGGTGTCATGGCCAACACCATGGGGCAAACATTGGCAAAACGCTATGTTCTGTGTTTAATGTTACTGATCAAGCATCTAGGGTATGTGAGGTGGCAAATAACCAAACCATTCAGCCACAGCACATCACATGCCAGGATTTCAGCAGCTGCAACGTGCCTCAAGCAAGTCCTGGCCCAACACCCACCCCAAGCCGTGCAACTCGAGATACGATGCGGAAAATGTGCCAGAAGTGTTCTGATGGCCTAACAAACAGAATCACATATTCGATGTTGGACCCCGTGCCTTATCACGATTGAATGCCTGACGAAATAAAAGACAAAGGGAAATATCAGGTTGGGAGTCTTAAAGGGGGTCGCTTACATAAAGCTTACGCAAAGTTTACACTGAAAGAACAACGAGTACATAGCGGCAAAAAGAATTGTATGGGGCCTTCAAAAACTTCGTAAGCGAAATTTGCCATATTTTGACATCGCTAAGATTGCAATCGTAGGTCTGAACCACACAACTGTGGGAACATGTCCTAAAAAAAGGCTTCTGCCCAAGTCTCAGGCTTCACAAATTGCTGATATTTATTCCTTATGAAATCACTCAAA